AAAACTTGTGAAATTAAATAAATTGTTACCTATATCTAAAATTAAAAATGGCTTTTGAATTGAGAGGTGATAAATATATTTTATATTCTACAGAAATTATGTTTATGCTTTTCTTCAGGCAGTCTTTTTAATTAATTTGATTTCATTTGTTGATGAAAGACATCAACAATACTAAGATTATATGATGGATATCAATTTAAAATCGGTAATATAGTTGTATTCGAAAATATATGGCATTAAACATTTTTAATGTCAGGCAAAATCCCACAGGCACTGGAAATGTCATCAATGAAAATCTTGACCTATTATTTTGTGAATAGTGAGATGAATTCTACTTATTTTCTATTTTTTTGACAAATTGTTTTACAGAAGGGAATAAGTTAATAACTCGAAAATCAAGGCAATTTTTTATTAATATTTATAAAGAGATCAACAAATGAAGAGCTCAGAAGAAGAGAAATGATCCACGCTGTAAATGTTACAAACTTAAAACAATTATTATTTCTACGCCGAAAAATTTAATATGCAGTTTATTTTCCATTATTTAATATTATTTCTTCGAAACTAAACAATCTAAAATTTTTGTCTAATTTAAAAAATTTCTTTTTCTCTTTTTACTTTTAACTTTTTCTTCTCAAAAATTTTTTCAATGTTTATTCAATATGCTCACACGAAGAGCGAGCGGGTGATGGAAACGGGCTTGACTACGTTAAAAATAAAAATGTCGAAAGATATTTTTACTTGTGTTTGGTATTGGAAAAAAAAAGCTAGGGTCCGTTTCCCCAAATATTATACGAGTTACATCATCACTTCTCCTTTAATCATAGGAAATAAATTATAGCTAGATTGATTAATACGAGATATATTATAAGAAAAAACTTATGATAAATATTGAATTATTTAATTTTTCGAGTGTTACCTATATATATAAAATCAAATATTCACAAAATAATTGCATAAAATCTTGCTTTGGGTATTTTGCAGAGGCATGATGTAGTTAATGAATACCAGTAAAACTTAATTCTCTAAGTGAAGCTCTCTATTGTGGAAATGATCGTGTGTTCAGAAGTTTACTGCATTAACAGTGCATTGATAATGATAAATATAAAATATATACCGGTAGTATGTATGGAATTAAAGAAAAATTTCAGAACGAATAATTTTCACAATAAAGAAATTTATTTTATTAGTACTAAAAATAACAAAAATAAAAGTGAAAAGTACTGATTTATTGCATAATAACGTTATATATTTTGTTGATATTATCTAAGAAAAATTAATTTGTTATATATAATTGAATTCAAACAAAAGTGATTGAAATACTTGAAAAATTGCTCTAATACTTTAGAAAGAATATATGAATTAATATTTTTAATAACCTATATTTATTAATCAAAACAATAATTTTATTTTCATTAATTTTGAAACAATATTTCAAATAATTTTTTACGCTACAAAATGAAATGAATAATATAATACCTGTGATCGAACATTTTCCGTTAACACATATTAATCCCGGACGACATAGACTTTTAGAAACTCCCTCCGATTCACAACTTTGTCCTTCTTCTAAAAGAATAGCGAAATTTGAGAAAAATAATCAGCATATATTAATTTACGAACAGATTATAACCTTTGTAAGAGACACAAATGGGACAACAACCGCACACCGAACCGTTGTCTATTTTCTCAGAATCCTCACATTCTGTTTCTGGGCATACCACTCTGAGACAAAGTTCCTCACAGGTCGTATTTAGTGCCTCGCAGACAAATCTTAGAAGTATAAAAACAATAAGTGTCTTTATCTCGAGCATTTTGGATAGGAGACAAGTCTTAGAAGTTTCAGTGTTTGATTTTTGTACATATTTACATAATGATGTCAGCGATTACGTAACTCTTTCGATAACGTATTACTATAGCAATTGATAGTGTTTACGCATTTATCAAAAAGTACAAAGTAACAAAAACACTAAAACGTTGTTATTTGTATTTGGATTATATGAAATTTTGATTAAGCATTCAATAATAGAATTTAAAAGTTTTTAAACAAATATACAGTATTTTTCAATTATTTAACATATTTTGCGAACATCTACAAATGCATTTTTAAACGAATACTGTAGGCCTATTTTATATTAGGTAGCATTTATTACACTTGAGTTTTATGTAATTCCTTTTCAAATTTATTTATAGGAAGATACATTGATGTTGATTAACTAAGTTGTAGGCCTACTTTAGTTGTACAATATTAACAAATTAAATGTAAAATAATAACTAAGAAACACTGAACTAAAAGCCTATTTTTGCCGTTCTTGAGTAAAACATTAACATTTCGTCTTATTTAAATTCAAACATCGGAATAAAAATCAGATTTACATAACCTCTCAATGCTACATTACGCGCTGGAATCGAAAGATGTCTTAACTTCTAATATTTATGCTCACCATCTGCTCCCTCGAATGATGTTCGATGACTCCCATAAACTATTGTCAATAAATATTTTTAATATTATGATTATTATTATTGCTACTGTACAATCTGAGTTAAATTCTTATAATCTATCTTTTACTTTCATTTCATTTTAGTCACTACATTTTTTTTTAATTTAAAAAACACAAGTTCCATTTTAATTCAATTACAATATAAATTTTAAAAATTATATTTTTATAGATTTTACAATGAAAATTTGATAAAATGGGTGAAATAATTGAATATAATCGTGATATAATATCAAAAATAGGAAGACAAGACAACATTTGGTATATCAATAAACATTCTATATGGTCAGTAAAAAATATTTATGTATGAAATCTTTTCGTTATTTTATTATTAAATATAAAAATAATACTAATCTAATTTTTATTTATAAAAATTTACAGAATGCGATTCTAATAGATTTTGAAGCATTTCAAGTGAAAGATCATAAAATTATTTATCGACAGTTGCCATAAAAAGATTACACAGTCCTATAGAAGCTGTAATAGACATTTATATAGATTCTGTTAAAAAGTATCAAGTCAATTTTACTAGCAAAAACATTCTTAGATTAAATTTTATAGACGAAAAACCATCGGATATCACTGGCTGGATCAAACATAGTAATTTACAAAACTTATTAAATTACTTCACAACGTATAATAAATTATTTTTATTTAAAGGTGGACGGATAGAAAAAGAAATTCTTTTTAAAAACTGGAACTATAATTATTTAGACATCGAACTTCTTGGGTGTCTAAGATTGGATAATATTAAAAAAAATTGTTATTACCACAAATATTTTAAAAAGCATTGTTCTTTTTGCGTATTTTCAAATTGTCGTGTTTTAATTTAGTTGGATACTGTATTAAAACGAATTGCAAAAATTATTATTGCAAATTAATTTTAGTGAGGTTGAGGCCGAAGTTTTAAACGCGAAAACGTGTACGTCGGACGTTCAGCGCCGCTTTCTTGTAAGCCTAGAAGTTTGACAATGGTATTTGGAATATTGAGCATGATTCCACTGACTATCCAAATACCATTGTCAAACTTCTAGGCTTACAAGAAAGCGGCGCTGAACGTCCGACGTACACGTTTTCGCGTTTAAAACTTCGGCCTCAACCTCACTAAAATTAATTTGCAATAATAATTTTTGCAATTCGTTTTAATACAGTATCCAACTAAATTAAAACACGACAATTTGAAAACACGCAAAAAGAACAATGCTTTTTAAAATATTTGTGGTAATAACAATTTTTTTTAATATTATCCAATCTTAGACACCCAAGAAGTTCGATGTCTAAATAATTATAGTTCCAGTTTTTAAAAAGAATTTCTTTTTCTATCCGTCCACCTTTAAATAAAAATAATTTATTATACGTTGTGAAGTAATTTAATAAGTTTTGTAAATTACTATGTTTGATCCAGCCAGTGATATCCGATGGTTTTTCGTCTATAAAATTTAATCTAAGAATGTTTTTGCTAGTAAAATTGACTTGATACTTTTTAACAGAATCTATATAAATGTCTATTACAGCTTCTATAGGACTGTGTAATCTTTTTATGGCAACTGTCGATAAATAATTTTATGATCTTTCACTTGAAATGCTTCAAAATCTATTAGAATCGCATTCTGTAAATTTTTATAAATAAAAATTAGATTAGTATTATTTTTATATTTAATAATAAAATAACGAAAAGATTTCATACATAAATATTTTTTACTGACCATATAGAATGTTTATTGATATACCAAATGTTGTCTTGTCTTCCTATTTTTGATATTATATCACGATTATATTCAATTATTTCACCCATTTTATCAAATTTTCATTGTAAAATCTATAAAAATATAATTTTTAAAATTTATATTGTAATTGAATTAAAATGGAACTTGTGTTTTTTAAATTAAAAAAAAATGTAGTGACTAAAATGAAATGAAAGTAAAAGATAGATTATAAGAATTTAACTCAGATTGTACAGTAGCAATAATAATAATCATAATATTAAAAATATTTATTGACAATAGTTTATGGGAGTCATCGAACATCATTCGAGGGAGCAGATGGTGAGCATAAATATTAGAAGTTAAGACATCTTTCGATTCCAGCGCGTAATGTAGCATTGAGAGGTTATGTAAATCTGATTTTTATTCCGATGTTTGAATTTAAATAAGACGAAATGTTAATGTTTTACTCAAGAACGGCAAAAATAGGCTTTTAGTTCAGTGTTTCTTAGTTATTATTTTACATTTAATTTGTTAATATTGTACAACTAAAGTAGGTCTACAACTTAGTTAATCAACATCAATGTATCTTCCTATAAATAAATTTGAAAAGGAATTACATAAAACTCAAGTGTAATAAATGCTACCTAATATAAAATAGGCCTACAGTATTCGTTTAAAAATGCATTTGTAGATGTTCGCAAAATATGTTAAATAATTGAAAAATACTGTATATTTGTTTAAAAACTTTTAAATTCTATTATTGAATGCTTAATCAAAATTTCATATAATCCAAATACAAATAACAACGTTTTAGTGTTTTTGTTACTTTGTACTTTTTGATAAATGCGTAAACACTATCAATTGCTATAGTAATACGTTATCGAAAGAGTTACGTAATCGCTGACATCATTATGTAAATATGTACAAAAATCAAACACTGAAACTTCTAAGACTTGTCTCCTATCCAAAATGCTCGAGATAAAGACACTTATTGTTTTTATACTTCTAAGATTTGTCTGCGGGGCACTAAATACGACCTGTGAGGAACTTTGTCTCAGAGTGGTATGCCCAGAAACAGAATGTGAGGATTCTGAGAAAATAGACAACGGTTCGGTGTGCGGTTGTTGTCCCATTTGTGTCTCTTACAAAGGTTATAATCTGTTCGTAAATTAATATATGCTGATTATTTTTCTCAAATTTCGCTATTCTTTTAGAAGAAGGACAAAGTTGTGAATCGGAGGGAGTTTCTAAAAGTCTATGTCGTCCGGGATTAATATGTGTTAACGGAAAATGTTCGATCACAGGTATTATATTATTCATTTCATTTTGTAGCGTAAAAAATTATTTGAAATATTGTTTCAAAATTAATGAAAATAAAATTATTGTTTTGATTAATAAATATAGGTTATTAAAAATATTAATTCATATATTCTTTCTAAAGTATTAGAGCAATTTTTCAAGTATTTCAATCACTTTTGTTTGAATTCAATTATATATAACAAATTAATTTTTCTTAGATAATATCAACAAAATATATAACGTTATTATGCAATAAATCAGTACTTTTCACTTTTATTTTTGTTATTTTTAGTACTAATAAAATAAATTTCTTTATTGTGAAAATTATTCGTTCTGAAATTTTTCTTTAATTCCATACATACTACCGGTATATATTTTATATTTATCATTATCAATGCACTGTTAATGCAGTAAACTTCTGAACACACGATCATTTCCACAATAGAGAGCTTCACTTAGAGAATTAAGTTTTACTGGTATTCATTAACTACATCATGCCTCTGCAAAATACCCAAAGCAAGATTTTATGCAATTATTTTGTGAATATTTGATTTTATATATATAGGTAACACTCGAAAAATTAAATAATTCAATATTTATCATAAGTTTTTTCTTATAATATATCTCGTATTAATCAATCTAGCTATAATTTATTTCCTATGATTAAAGGAGAAGTGATGATGTAACTCGTATAATATTTGGGGAAACGGACCCTAGCTTTTTTTTTCCAATACCAAACACAAGTAAAAATATCTTTCGACATTTTTATTTTTAACGTAGTCAAGCCCGTTTCCATCACCCGCTCGCTCTTCGTGTGAGCATATTGAATAAACATTGAAAAAATTTTTGAGAAGAAAAAGTTAAAAGTAAAAAGAGAAAAAGAAATTTTTTAAATTAGACAAAAATTTTAGATTGTTTAGTTTCGAAGAAATAATATTAAATAATGGAAAATAAACTGCATATTAAATTTTTCGGCGTAGAAATAATAATTGTTTTAAGTTTGTAACATTTACAGCGTGGATCATTTCTCTTCTTCTGAGCTCTTCATTTGTTGATCTCTTTATAAATATTAATAAAAAATTGCCTTGATTTTCGAGTTATTAACTTATTCCCTTCTGTAAAACAATTTGTCAAAAAAATAGAAAATAAGTAGAATTCATCTCACTATTCACAAAATAATAGGTCAAGATTTTCATTGATGACATTTCCAGTGCCTGTGGGATTTTGCCTGACATTAAAAATGTTTAATGCCATATATTTTCGAATACAACTATATTACCGATTTTAAATTGATATCCATCATATAATCTTAGTATTGTTGATGTCTTTCATCAACAAATGAAATCAAATTAATTAAAAAGACTGCCTGAAGAAAAGCATAAACATAATTTCTGTAGAATATAAAATATATTTATCACCTCTCAATTCAAAAGCCATTTTTAATTTTAGATATAGGTAACAATTTATTTAATTTCACAAGTTTTTAATATCAATTTAGCAATAAATATTAAGGATACAATCATACCATTGTATCCTTAATTGGTTAATATTTATTGCTATGAATTATGCTGATGTTAGATCTAAAACTTGGCACACTTATGATATAAATAAATTTTTATAAAATATTTATTTTGCTTATTATACCGTAATATTTTACTAAATATCGCGTTTATTGCTCGGTAAACACGTTAAAGGTATCGACCACCATGTTACGACTACGAAATACATCCGTCTGTCACGATTGGGTAATCGTATCACGTGACTTAAGTGCACGGCGGATTGGTTATTTTCCGAGATAGATAAAGTTTCATTGGATGAAAATAACTTTATATCACGTGATCGGATGACGTTTTCATATAAAGTATTCGATCGTCCCGTCGTCCTCTACGGAAGGGGAGAAGTCGAGATGGGAAATAATACTAGTACCAAACGCATTACGTTAGTTAACGACTCCGGTAATATCATTCAAGTTTCCGATGCCGTAGTGAGACGTTTAAAAGGAGGTGACGATAGAAAGGATCATAAGGCGACAGAATCGGACGATACCTTTCCACCCGTAATAGTCGAACATCAGACTGCCCAAAACCGAGAACATTTATGCGAGGAAGACTCCCGGTTAAGCAAAGAACATTCCAATCGGGCTGCAGAAGTTAATTCTGGAAACGTAACATTTCAAGAATTGGAAAATGAAAACATACATTTGTTACAGCTGCTGACAGAAAAGCTGGATAAATCCATAGATGATGTGGAGAAAAAATATTTCAACAGACCATCGCTAGATGTCTGCCAGGAAATGCAAGATAAAGTTTTAAATTGTTATGAAAATAATTCTGCCAATACGTTGAATTGTCATAAAGAAGTAGCGCAGTTTCAGAGATGTGTGGATGGAGTGAGATTTAGAGTGTTAGTGAACAAACAGTGATGCCCTTTTAATAATAGTTCAATCAAGTTTAAAAATATAGATGTAAGACTGTAGATTCTTATACAGTTGGTTAATAAAAAACGGTTTGCGTTTTGAGATATTTTTCTGTGTATTTCTGATTCGATGCGTAAACAAAACAATTTAACCAAATGTTTTTATTACATGATAATATTGCAGTTATGATTATCAAAAGATTAGGACACGTAGAGTCCCGCTAGTTCGAACTTGTTTCGGTTGGCAGAGAGGAAATTTTCAATAACAAGAGGTCCCCAGGTCCACTTAGGTGTGTTCCCCTTTCTCTTTCCCAAGTGAACTGCGTAAATAAGGCATTGTCAAGCCTGTCAAACATTGAGGGCCTTGCTGTTTGTTGATTTTCAACTGATTTTTCAGAAGTAGAGGCACAAAACTGCTCGATCTTTGTGTGGTTTTTTTTCCAATTGGTTATTGTGGCACCTCTATTGAGTATAAGTCAGATGAAATAAAGGGTGGGGAGACTGATGTCATTGATGGCATTGGATCTTTATAAACCAGACTGTTTTACTGCTTGCTTCTGCATTATTTCAATAATTTGGCTAATCCGAACAGGGCTCAGTCCCAATTACTTCTGACTAGCGGGACTCTACTGTATTAGAATTCCAAACTTGATGATATATTTTTACCAAAAATTGTTTTATTTTTGGTAAACCAATTACTTGGATTTTGGTTTACCAATTTGGATTACTTGGTTTTACTTGGATATGAAGAACTTGGATATACTGTACATAAAATCATGGTGTTTAAGAAGAATTATTTGTAAAGAAATTTACTATTAGAATTTGTTTTATTATAATTATTATTATTAATAGTTTGTATAAGTGCTTTTAAAGGCAAAATCTCTCGAATTAATGTTTTGAGTTATTTTAATAGGTATTTCAGATGATTCGCATTGTTGGAATCTTACAAGATTGAGAGAAAATTTGATAGCTGATCAGACGTTGTCTTTTGATGCATGGGTACCATCTTGTGATAGGAAATATTATAAATCCAAACAATGCAAGCAGCACAAGTAAAACAGTATTGTAGTTTTTATACTTTTAATAAAGTAGTAATTATATTTATAAAAATATAAGGTTTTATAAATATAACACAATTTGNATTTTTTTTATTATAAATTAACTACAACTGTTTTTATTAATTCACAAATTCGTTATGCCAGAATTTAATTAATACGGAGTGCGTTCGATAATAGTAGTCGCTCCGTCGCCACGGGCATGCGTTTTCGTTTGTAGGTTTTTCTTAAACTCTTTTTACACTGTGGGCTCTAAGAGGACCTCCATTAGCAAGCCCGTTATAGGTTCGGCCAGGCCCACAATGGGGCGGCTGAGTGGTGAGGGACTGTTTGTAGGTTTTTGAGAATGACGGCGAAAGAAAGAAATAGATGGCGGTTTACCTATCGATAGGATCGGGATGGCGGAATCTATGATTTTAAAATATGCGTTGGAGACAAAAGTTTAAAAAAAAGTATTACAATTGTAAAATTAAAAAATGCAAACTCGCCAAAATAAATGATTTTGAGTATTGCGTATCGGCCGCGTAGCATAAAAAACTGATTTTACTATTAATTTTACTTTGGAATGTCGAAAAAGTGACAAAAACTTCAATTTGTAGAAAAATTATCAAAATACTACTTATTTACAAGATTGTATTTTATACGAAGGAAAATTTGTTTAATTACGATTGTAACTGTTTTGCCGACCGCACGCGCAATAAACAACTCGCGATTGACAGTATACACCAACGGCCGGATGGCCGAGCGGTCGAGGTGGCAGCCTACCGCTCTGGGGGACTCGGGATCTGAAATCCGGATGGGTCGAATAATCTTCAGGAATTTTTGGGGGTGGTCCGTTCGGATATGTCGGGCCCTGTCCCTCTCCACCCGGCAGCCCCATTGTGGGCCTAGCCGAACTCATAATGGGCTTGCAAAAAGAGGCCCTCTTAGTGCCCACAGGGCGGAAAGAGTTTTAAAAAAAAAGTATACACCAGTCATATACATCATCAACTGGTAACACGAGAATTTCGTTTGAAGCCGCCCTGCAAGTAACTAGCAACTAACGGCCTATATGGACTACTGTGCAGTATATTTATTTTCCCATATTGCATTAATTAATGAACCGAANCCAATTTGGATTACTTGGTTTTACTTGGATATGAAGAACTTGGATATACTGTACATAAAATCATGGTGTTTAAGAAGAATTATTTGTAAAGAAATTTACTATTAGAATTTGTTTTATTATAATTATTATTATTAATAGTTTGTATAAGTGCTTTTAAAGGCAAAATCTCTCGAATTAATGTTTTGAGTTATTTTAATAGGTATTTCAGATGATTCGCATTGTTGGAATCTTACAAGATTGAGAGAAAATTTGATAGCTGATCAGACGTTGTCTTTTGATGCATGGGTACCATCTTGTGATAGGAAATATTATAAATCCAAACAATGCAAGCAGCACAAGTAAAACAGTATTGTAGTTTTTATACTTTTAATAAAGTAGTAATTATATTTATAAAAATATAAGGTTTTATAAATATAACACAATTTGAGAATACTTATTTTATTTTAAAATTGAGTAGCATATTACTTTCATTCTCAAGTCTTTTTGAGAAAATTAATTAACAATTCATATATTTTTTATATTTTGTTTATATAAATATATTCTTAATTGAGGCCTATTAACATAATAAACTTGCTTATGTCCTTGTAACTGAACATTATGATAAATAACAATTCTTGAAAAAATAAATATGTCAGCTTAAATACTTTCATTTCTTAAAAAGTTCAGTTAAGAAATGTTAAAATTTGGATATCAGAAAAATTGAAAATAAAAACAGAATGAAAGAACAGAGAACATTTATTTCAAAAAGAGAAGAGGTTTTAGAATAGGAGAAAATTTTGTAAAAACATTTTTGTTATATACATTACATCAAATATGTATACTTTCAAAAATCAACCAACCATAATTTTCATCAGCTATTGCTGGATGATGATAGTGATGTATATTAATTTAATATATGGGGGTTCAAATGATATATTGCATTTTTTTAAGAATACATTTTTAAAAAGGTGTCTTTACCTTTTTGCAAGTTTATAATCATTTTTAATCTGTGGCTTTATAATAACAGTTTAAAAATATATCATGAATACACAATTAGAATAATTACAAAACTTAAAAAAAATCAAAAGTTGGGACAGCTTATGGATAATGTATCTTTTCACTACTACAGTATAATTTCAAGGTGTTTTTCTTTCTAAATAGCATACAGTTTCTCAACTTCACTTATAGGTTTTAAATAATGATGTTACCAAAAACCACTTACAAACCTTAGTGTTAGTCCAGCAGAGATCATACATTATATTTCTAACATTTTTGGTCAAAACTGCAAAACTTAGTCAGGAAATAGCCATTTCCAAGATGGAATGTTCATATTCTATAACAGAATGTTAAAAAATGTCTGCTAAATTTGAGAAAACATGTGCACCTGTTGAGGAGTAAAATTTAAACAAAATATTCAAATAACCATTGAAAACTAAAGAAAAAATGTGTTTGTCGAACTTGGATTTAAAAATGAGCATCATAAAATTTCTGGATGCTAATTGAATGACTGCATGGTTGGAAGGAAGCACCATAGCAGGCTTGCCATGCTTGTAAAATTGACTTTTTCTCTGCCATTGATGCATGTGCTCTATTTGCCTTAAAAACTTCAAGGGCTTTCAGACATTGTAGATTCTCCCCCTGGAGTATCACTAAGGTTTGTAAGTGGTTTTTGATTTGTTCTGTCCAATTCTATCTCAAGTGTTCTCAATGTTACCTATGTTAATTTTCACCCTATTTTTAATTTAATTGAAAAATAAATGATTATAGATACATAATTTCTTGCTTAAAAATTGCATTTTAATATCTAATACAGTCAAACTTTTTCAGTTAGGGATTGATTCTTCAGTAATTTTTCTTGATAATTATTTCATATATGCACAGTCCTAGAAAAAGTATGAGATCACCCAGACTTTCAAACTTTACATTAAAATTAACTGATCTCCTGTAAATACAGTTTATTGTTGTTTAGATATTAAAATAACCATAAATATGAAGTATAAACTTATTTTCACATTTAAGAAATTCAAGCACAACAAATTATTGCTTACAATTTGCCTGGAAAAAGTTTGATATTTGATACCAGGATCATAAATGCACAATGTAAACAAAGCATAGTGGGAAAACAATATTTTATAGTTAAGTTTGTTTACCATTAACCCAAATAACATCAATCGATCACTTGGTCATGGAGTTGTTAGTCTTTCAGGAACAATTATATCCTAAATGGTCACAATTGCTTTTTAAGATCAGAAACATTATTAAGATTTTTTCCATTGGTATAAACTACTATTACCAAATCACCCCAAAGGTTTTCTATTGGGTTTAAATCCAGGCTACAGGGTAACCATTGTAAAATGTTGATATTATTGTCAGACAACATTGTCATTGTTGAGGTAGCATTTTGAATGGGAGCATTATTTTGTTGGAAAATAAAATGTTTGTCCATTGCTTCATCTTTTAATGGAGAAGATAATTTTCCATCTTGATAGTCTTTGAATGAGATGAAATGAAAGCAATTGCTGTTTTTAATTGATCAGTGAAAGCAACCCATATAATCAGATATTTCACCTTGTACACAATGTGATAAAGGATGAGGTTGGTAGCACATCATGCCAATAGTATTGCACACCAGGACCATCCAGGTTAAATTTATTCTCACCACTAAAAGCTGTTCTAAATCTGAAAGGCAAACATAATACATTGCAAAATTGGCAGCTGAACTTTCCACAAGGAAGGTTGTCAATTTTAGCTGTTATTGCATTTTAATATATACATAATTTACAGATTTTTGTAGAACATATCTCATTGTTCTTGGTGTTACAGATAGCTTTTAGTGAAGCTTGTAATCTGACTAGATAACATACCAGAGGATGTAGTTCAACATTGTCCTGTCATCTCTGGTAGAAAGTTTACAATGTTTAGCTTTGGAATAATTGTCAGGATCCTTTCAGTAATTGTGAACTACTGTCTTTGATCTTTTTAGTAGGTTTGCAATGGACATTCATATTTCCCATGGTGTCTGAATGTATCTTGCCTTTTTCTTCATCTATTAATGTCTTTACCAGATTCCATTTTTACTGAAGGTTGAAAACACACAACATGGATGTATGTAAATTAAGTTAGTGTCTTATATTTTAGAATGTTGTAAAATATGAATTTTTGATCCTAATCTCAAACTTTTTCCAGGCAAATTGCAAGCAATTACAGTAATACCCCAAACTTATGCAATAGGTGGGACTGAGCGATAACCACACAAGTCGAATTCACGTAAGTCAAGGTATAATTTCGCAATTTGTGTAAAATCCAAGTCGGACGTATGTAAGCTAATAAATGTTCTCGTTAATCTTATGTCGTCTTTTGATTCGTTCACGGTTGCAAGAAATCACCACATACAGTCTCTCAAGTCTCCGTAGATATAACAAACACAGAAATAAATAACACAAATTGTAGCTGTGTGTCAATTCCGCGCGACACATCCGAACATGTAAGCCGAACAATAGTGTGGGGGGAGTGAGTAATCGAGAGTTGTGTGGCGCTCAAACAAAAGACGAATCGACGAGATTTGAAAATCGCATAACTCCGGGTTCGCATAAGTCGAGGTATTACTGTATTGTATTTGAATTTCTTAAATATGAAAATAACTTTTTTACTTCATATTTGGTTTATGGTTATTTTAATATCTAAACAACAATATACAGTATTTATAGAATATCAATTTAATTTAATGAAAACTTTGATCAATTAAATTTAATGGAAACTATGATTTGAAACTTTTTTCCAGGACTATATAAAATGATGACTTGCTAACATGGATTAGGAGCAATAGTGTATTTGAGCCAGGAATTGTACTTATTTTCATAGCAGAAACTTTTATGATATGCATATAAAATAAAGTCAAACTGTGATATAGTGTCACCCTCAAAGTGCCAAAGGATACTTATGAATGGTCTTTCCTATAAAGCATTCATAACTTAAATAGAAATAATAATATATTGCAATCATTATCATCATCAAATCACATAACTTTTAAATCTCAAATTAGAACTTAGTTAAGTTCATTATTGTATATAATTCCTGTTTGAGGGACTTCAATTTAGTGCTAATATAAGAGCAAACAAATGGTGGCACTAAATCATCAACATTTGACTATATAATTATAAATATACATTGAAAGATAAGTGAATAAAAATCAGCATGTTATAAAATGCAAAGCTCTTTCCAGATATGTTGCCAAATATTATATATTCAAGTTTTCACTATGAAAGATCCAAACTTTAGTTTCCAAGCAAACTAGAGCAAAGCAATGCAATTAAATCCAACCATAAATTGCAATGCATAGATGTACTGATATTATCAAGTTGCTGTTGGTAAAGGCTTATGCCATCATGATTATTATTTTTATCATTTAAATGGGAATGTTTTCAACAGATATTTTATTACATGGTACTTTTCAGAAATGGTGTTATATGCACAAATACATATAAAATTCTGTTATGAGTTAATTTCTTTATTAAATTGACAACTTAATGTTGGTTTAGTAATACTTTCAATTTTGATTTACATAATTTATTTTTAATGTGTAATTAAATTGTGAAAAAGTAAACTAAAAAGTAGCATGTTTTAATAAAAGTGTACTTATGGGTTAGAAAATAGTATTCTATTTATTACCTTTAAGTAAATACACTCACTAATCAGGAGTTAGTGATTCTATCACTATGGGATCAGGTATAGAAAGTATTTTATACTATAAACAAACTTTGGAAGTTGAGATGCAAATTTTCTTTTAAAAAATGGGCTAAAAATTTGATAAATTTTTGTGAAAAAGTTTGTAAAAAAATTATTGCTAAAAATGCATAAATATAAAACTATTATTTTATTGCACATGAAAGTATAAATCTATTTTCTTGAGTTTTACTAGAGTTATCATACATCTGTATTTAGTACAGACAGTCTGTACTTTAAGGACTTTGTCCATGTCTGTAATATACTTAGAAAAAATAAACAAAATATCCATACTTTTCAACTGATCACACAGTTAATAGTTAAATCATAACCACTTAAATTTAAATCTGACAAAAGGTGCTAATTTTTGATGATTATTATTATTTTTGTTGGCTAGGTGGCAACATTGTATAAGGAAATGTAATGGCTCTGTTGCTTAGAGAACATGTGCACATTCATTATAAGTTGTTTAAATTTGATATTACTTGTCTAAGTAGTAAAATAGTTTTCTTATATTTAAAATTGCATAAAATTATTTTTGAGTTTACTTCTTTTTGTTTTCAACTATTTGTTAACTTGTTCTTAATAACAGTCTTTAGATGCTATGGCTATAAGCCTTTTCTATGTATCTTTGTAA